AAAAAAAAAGTTGACCGATTCCTAAAAAAAAGAGAAAAAAGAATGGTTAGTTACTGAAAGAAAGAAATTAACTCGCCCATAATAAAAAACTTACAAGTTCGCTTAAGAAAGTCCAAGCGGATTCCTTAAAAAAGATGAAAGAAAAGAATAGTTAGTGCCGTTCTAAAGAAAGAATTAACGCACTTATAAAAAACTTACCACAAGTCCATTTCGAGAAAAAGTCCAAGTCGATTCCTAAAAAAAAGAAGAAAGATAGTACTGTTTTAAAAGAAAGAATTAACAACCCACCCATAAAAAACTTACGAGTCCATTTTGAGAGAAAGTCCAAGCCGATTCCTAAAAAAAAGAAGAAAGATAGTACTGTTCTAAAAGAAAGAATTAACAACCCACCCATAAAAAACTTATCACGAGTCTGTTTTGAGAGAAAGTCCAAGCTGATTTCTAAAAAAAAGAAGAAAGATAGTACTGTTTCAAAAGAAAGAATTAATACACTCATAAAAAACTTACCACAAGTCTATTTCGAGAAAAAGTCCAAGCCGATTCCTAAAAAAAGAAGAAAAAACAGTTAGTACCGTTCCAAAAGAAAGAATTAACAACACACCCATAAAAAACTTACCACAAGTTCGTTTCGAGAAAAAGTCTAAGCTGATTCCTAAAAAAGAGAAGAAAGAAAAAATGGTTAGTACCGTTCTAAAAGAAAGAATTAACAACCCACCCATAAAAACTTATCACAAGTCCGTTTCGAGAAAAAGTCCAAGCCGATTCCTAAAAAAAAAAGAAAAAATGGTTAGTACCGTTCCAAAAGAAAGAATTAACACACCCATAAAAACTTACTACAAGTCTATTTCGAGAAAAAGTCCAAGCCGATTCTTAAAAAAAAGAAGAAAAAACGGTTAGTACCGTTCCAAAAGAAAAAATTAACACACCCATAAAAAACTTACCACAAATCCGTTTTGAAAGAAAGTCCAAACCGATTCCTAAAAAAAAGAAGAAAGAAAAACGGTCAGTATCATTCTAAAAGAAAGAACTAATACGCCTACCTATGAAAAACTTACCCTAAGTCTGTGTTGAGAAAAAGTCCAAGCCGATTCCTAAAAAAAAGAAAGAAAAGCATGGTTAGTACCGTTCTATAAGAAATTAATCTTATCCATAAAAGCTTATCTCCGCTTAAAGAAAAAGTGAGAAAGTCAAAAAAATTCTAGCGGCAATAATAATTTATAATATAAAAAAATTGTTAAAAATAAAGA